TCACTTTGAGTCTGATCGGTGCAGATCAATTCCTTTGCATCATTACAAGCAGACATTATAATTGATCAGAAAAGATCCATTTCAAGTGGTCTTACATCTACTGCAATAATTCCACTACTTTATCAAGAGCAAGGTTTTTATTAACTCTTCCCTTTTTTAGATTATAGACCAATACTTCGCTCAGAGATATTAAAAATTGTCCAATATACATAGAAATGTGAGCGTCGAACTGGTCACCATTTGCCGGAATAACAAAGTTTTCACGTGTTCACCACTGGAGAATTCCGCCCTCATACAACCATCAAGAAACCAACGGCTTCTCTAAAGCAGACAGTGATTTCACTTGTTAAAAAATTTTACCATGTAAAGGACTTTACACTTCACACCTTAGAACCAGAATCTCGAATTTGCAATTAAATACGAGCCAATTTTTAAGTGAATCTTCATTTCCTTTCGCTTCATTTCACACTACCTGACATATATTTTAACATCTGTTGGATCGAAAACAGTTCATAGCTTTTCAGTTTCTCCGAAACTAGAAAGAACAAATGACTGTAAAATAAAAGCATGTGATTCAACACTTTCGCGTAAGATCAAGTTCTTGATATTTCCGCCAACCCCCCCTCTCTCTTCCTAAAGCATGCACTAATAACTTGTATACGGCTAACTAGCGGATTGAAGTAATAAATCAAACTATCTGGGGGCTTATCGCCTTAACAAGCATTGACTAAAGCCAAAATCCTTCGAACTAAAGCTGAAAATATCCGAAGAACTATGTTAGAAGGCCGATGATATTGATGAAATAACAACTAAAGGATCTAGCTGCTGGTATCAGCAAGCACGATCAGCCTTTTCTGCCTGGATACACTAAACTGATAGTTGTAATAAAAGCTGATAAAAGCTGAAGAGGCGAATGCGGGCCAATTGCAACAATTTTATACACGATGTACAAATGTACACACCAATCAAAAAAAAAAAAAACAACATCAATGAGGTCCATGACTGTACTAGATAGTAAATTTTTCTTTTATAAAACTCTTGAATTGCATTTCGCACCTACTTATGTAATACTACAATCCCAAAACTTAGAAAAAAAAGCAGAGAAATGATAAAAAATAAAAGAATAAAACAGACTCTTTGGAAAGTGTGCGTAGATTAGAAAATATCAGTAATCTACTGGTTTAATCGTCTGAGAAATATTACCCACTTAACCAATTACTATGCAAGTTTTGAAACAGAATTAACACATAATTTAATGCTGCGTACCTCATCCATCAAAAACTGATAAAACTTTGTGTAATAAGTTGATGGCGAGCTGAGCAGAAAAAGAATTTTTCTATTCACTTAGTTGCCCAAATGAAAAACATGCTTTTCATTGTTAAAAAGAAAAACCCGTAATACCACGTGTCCGTATGGGTAATAATAATTATTGTCACATTCTTAAAACATGATGACGTATAAAGTTGCAGGAAGAGCTTTTGAACACCGATGACATGGTGTTTAAAAATTGCCCAACACTGATACCCGCCAATATCAATCATCAACCGAAATGTGTCAGAAGCTCGAATTAAACCCCGAAAAGAAGACACGCGGAGCCATAACAACAATAAAATTATACACCCCACAGGTGTAACTGAATATTTCATCAGCTTCTAGAATTTAACCTTTGATCAATTTACGACAGAAGAAAAGCACTTTTGTGTCCACTGTCTCTGTTCCACTTTAGAAGCTTTGCAGCGCTGGTGTAGCTTGTGTCATGAAGGACAGATAAGCGTTCCAAAATATACCAACAGCTTGCACAAAGATGAGCTGATAATAAAGTGGAATAAAGTAGAAGTTGACGAGTTGTACAAATGGCCATACCTAAACGTAATAATATTTTTAAATCTTGTAAGACTTTTTTTTTCCGAATAAACTTCCTGATTTTTTTAATTTATCAGTTTTCCTATTTTTCCAAAATATTTCCACAATGAAAACAGCGTCTAACGTGAGAAACAAACAGTTTTCTACTTTATTACTTGATTGCAAACCTTGTAGTTGGTCATAAGTATAGGCCAAAATTTTTCACGAGCCGCACCAATCGCTCCATCAAGGCGACGACCTTCCAATAACCGAAGGCTGAACACTATTGAAAACGTACAAATAGGTGCGGCTACTGTCTGCAAAAAGAAAAAAACAAATGACTTTAATCCAATTAAATTATTTCCTAATACTCAGACTTTTCTTTGCCTAATTATTATTTGAGGAAAGTCAGAAATGTGGAATTAGATGGAAATAAACATATGTACCAAGAGTACAGCAAAAGTCACAAGTTACTTCAAGAAACCTGATCAATAAAGACACGTTTCAGCGGGTAAAAAGTACCACGAAAGCGTTTCAAATACCAAAACCAGCGTGACGTAACCGGCGCCTTGAAATTTTATAATTACATACAATATTCAGAGGCAGCAAGATAAAACACCTATTATTTAAAAGGTATTAAATGTATGAGTTGGTATTGTTCAAACAGCAAACCGTATTTAACAAATAAAATACAAATGCATTTGCATCTTGCTTTCAACGACAGTATAACGTAATAATAAGTTAAGAAGGAACAAAAGATAAGTAGAAGTGGAAACTTGCCATTAAACAAGAAGCAACTCCCATGAACCTTGCCGTACGTATAGGGTCATAATCTCGCTTCCGTCGGCCTTCAACAAACACCTGACTAAAGCCATCACCCAATCCAGCTAATGCCCCTAGAAATGTACCGCCAAATTTAGTTATTTTTGATCCCTAATCAGTAGAAGGAATATGGTCATGCTAATCTGTGTAAATGGCTGAGCTATGCTCCTGCTAAACTCCTGTTGCGTTCCAAACCCTTTTTCTAACCGTGATTTTCTCACTATATTTCAGGAAGAGTGAGTTTTTTGTTGAAAATGATAGCAGAAACCTCTTTTTTTTGGATTTTTATCACAGGCCTCGAAGTAAACGTAACCACCAGAGTACTTACAATACGTCTGCTAGGCGCTCATTTATTGTTGATGTTGCTTACTGACAGCAAATGAGCATTTATACTTACAGGTATTTTTTAAAAACATTGACAATCAAACAGCGCAACACCTTACTTAAAAACGTAACATTTCCCTGCCAAATAAAACTTCAATTTCTTCAAAACTAGAGTTCTTCAAATCTGCTAATACACTTCTCTGTCGCATCGCGAACTAAAACCAAATTAAAATATTGCAATGCCCGCATAATACGCGACATATTGAAAGAGTTGAATAAGACGAAGAAAAGAGGAAAACAGTAGACCTTCCAAAATTTTGATTTAAAAGATATAATAATTCCTCTTCCTTGACACACAATGGTCAAAAAGTTCTCCCTAAACATGCTTTTTGTTCCCATTCACTGATACTTCGATTTTACAAAGAGGAAAACATATACCTGCAGATATGGCTTGCGTTAACATCGGACGCCTAGCCATAGCTCTCTGATACAGCCGAAGGGCAAACATCTGAAATCCGGCAGGTTTCAAGAAGTACTGTACGAACGGTTCGATTCCAATCATCAAATTACCTCGCAAGCGGACTTGTATTGAAACTAGCGTTCGAAGAAACGCTGCATTATAAAACAAAGTTGTTCAAATAGCAGTTAAACATTTTAACCTCTAACTGCATACATGGCGAATATGACGACTAGAAGAAAATTGCTGAAGAAAAACTGTGACCCGGGCACAATAAGCCAGGTCGTATGCTACTGGCGTACAATCCTTCCAGTAATGTTAAAATACGCAGAAAAATCTACACTCCAACTACTTTTTGTCTTCCTAACAGTTAATTTCAAACCACTAGGGAAGAATATAGCGGTTATCAGCAGTGACAAAAGAACTCAACAAACTACCAACATCTTTTCAAAATAAAAGAATTTTTTGAACGCAATAAATACAGCAAGAATCAGCGGAGTCAGCAGAATATCTCCGAATCAACCCTAACTAAACCTGCTCCCACGAACCAGAATGTCAGCTTCAAAAGCCAACACGATTGACCACGAAGGACCGATTTCAAAAATGACGTCAACAGTAAACAATTTTGTTTTTAGTTCATTTTAATGTTCAATTTAAAATGACTAGTTGACTCAACCATAACACAGAAGCAGTTAAATTTCGAAAACCGAGCAGAAGCAGCAAGGATCAACGCTTCAACTAGCTTCACGGAATATTTTGACTTCGAGAAATCAATTCTGTTCAGCAACACTATCCAGTTTCTCCTTTGCACTAAGCAAAACTTTTGAACGGAAACGACGACGGCAACAATAACAAACGTCGTTGAATCTCACTAGAACTTCGACATTTCTGCTGCGTTCCATTGT